CATTGATGATGGGGCATACAAACATATGAATTAGGAGTAGGAACAGTCCATGCAGGCATTTGAGCCTATTTCATCACTCCACAAAGATTTACAACTGATCTGATTGTGATTCCAAATCCTTATTCCTGCCTATCCTATCATCTTTTATTGCCTTGCTTTAAAATATTCAAGGACTGTGCTTCCACAATCTTTTCAGGAAGACTCAGGATCCTCAGAACGAAAATTCATCTCATCTGCTTTGAATAGGTGACCCCTTGATCCCTAAAGAGTGATCCCTCGTTCTAGATTCTCCCATCAGAGAAAATATCCTCCTCACACCTACCAAGTGAAGACCCCTCAAGATCTTGTGTTATAATCAAGTCACCTCTTCGTCTCCTCATAATTTTCATATTAACCTGTTCAGAGATGTTATTACACACCTCTGGAGCAGGTGAGACTTGAACCAGGTCTCCTGGCTCAGAGGTAGGGACCTTGCCAGTGCACCATAAGAGATCTACCTCTTGCTGTTCTAAACTCCACCTGTTGAAAGCCTCACCTCTTCTTATAACTTCCCCATTCCAGGTATTAGTCTATTAAACCTTCTCTGAAAATCCTCCAATGCATTTATTTCCTTCCATAAATAAGGTGACCATGACTGTGCAAGGTACACCACATGTGGCCTCAACAGTGTCCTGAATAATTAAAGAGGCGAGACTCCGAAAGCTTGTGTTTTCAAGTAAACCTGTTGGACTGTAACCTCGTGTCATGTGATTTTTTGACCTTGTCCACCCCAGTTCAACACTGGCACCTCCACATGCTGAATAATTGAAGCATAAATTCCCCTTTTGTCTCATTCTCCAAGCAATGAATGAAAACATTCTATTTGCTTTCCTTTCTAATTCCCCTTCCTGTACCTGCATCCAAATATTTCATAATTCACATACAAGGACATCCACATCCTTTGGAATCTCAGAGCTCTGTATTTCTCATTAAAGGCAAATCAGAGTAGGACTTGCACACTTAATGCTAAGGTCCTGGGGAGTGTTGCTGAACCAACTCGGCATGCAGGTTCATAGTTCCTTGAAAATGGAGTCACAGATAGACAGGATAATGCAGAAGTCATTTGGTTTACTTGTCTTTATTGGTCAGTGCATTGAGTATAGACGTTCTGACGTCATGTTTCAGCTGTACAGGACTTTGGTGAGGCCATTTTTAGAACACTGTGTACAATTCACATCACCCTTCCTTAGGAAGGATGTTTTTAAACTTGAGAGGATGCAGAAAAAATTTACAAGATGTTGCTGGGACTGGAGGGTTTGAGCTAAAGCAAGACCCTGAATGAATAGGCTGCGGCTTTTTTTCCTGGAGCATTGGAGCTTAGGGGTGACCCTACAGAGGTTTATAAAATCATGTGAGGCACAGATAAGGTGAATGGCCAAGATCATCTTCATAGGGTGGGGCAGTCCAACATTAGAAGGGATAGATTTAAGGTGAGAGGGGACAGATTTGAAAAAAGGACCTGAGGGGTAACTTTTCCACACAGACGGTGGTGCGTGCTTGAGTTGCCAGAGGAAATGGTGGAGGCGGGTACAATTATAGTATTTAAAAGGTGTCTGGATGGGTACATGATAGGAAGGGTTTAGAGGGGTATGGGCCAAATGCTGGCAAATGGGGCTAGGTCAGATTGCGATGTGTGGTTGGCACAGACAGATTGGACTGAAGAATCTGTTTCAGTGCTGTCTGACTCTATGACACTAAGTTGCGAAATCTATGCCTTGTTCAGCTGTCGAAAGGGAAAACTCAGGGATGTGTTCAGTGCCTCATGCAGACACCTTGGTGAGTCTGTTTCTGAGAAGCAGCAAAAGTAAGGCCCAAGGGAAAATAACCAATTTTACAATCACATAATCAGCACTTTGTGTTATTCAGCCTGTTCTTGATACAATGTGCTTTTGTACTTCTATATAACGGTTGTCTGCTTTGTATCTTGGCATGCATAATAAAACTGTTTTGACAAGGCGCAGTACTGAGACTATAATGCTGATTGTGGTGGAAAGCCGCCAGTTTGCAGTCTATTACTTCCAAATTGCAATTTGCCCACGCAGCTTCCAAATGGTTAATGTCCTCCCTCAGATGGTCTATTTTCCCCACTACAAATTCTTTGCGGAAATCACCCAGTGAATGGGGAATGGCAATATCTTCCTCATTTGTATTTAATACTGTTGTGGCTCAGTTCCAAAAATACGTTTCAGCTAGTTACACTTCAGAAGGGAGCTCAGTTTCCAACATCTGGCGCATATTTAGCAGGAAATCAAAGAGGAGAAAGAGCCATTACATAGAAAATACATCAAGGATGGAAGTAATACGGTCTACATCTGTAAATCTATAGGTTTTATTATTCATGGCATGTGTGTAGATTCATCAACCCATCTGGTGCCCTGCAATTATCCTAACATCCTGCTATCAGTCTGATAGAGTGTGGTTCCTGTTTCTTGTGGAATCTTCTTGTCAGCCACTTGACCATTTGATACGATTGGGAGTATGGCAGGGTTTACAGCAACCGTGTTTGGAAGTTCATCAGGAGCTCTCTCACCTCAGTCAAAAGTTGTTTATGTTTCCGTTCCCCGCTCCGTAGAATGAGTATGCAATCCAAGATGGTGCTTAAGTATACTAGGACTGAGGGAGCACTGCACTGTTGCAGGTGCTTTCGCTGGACAGTTAATCCAGAGGCCGAGGTAATGTTGTGGGGACCCAGGCCACAGCAGATGGTGGAATTTGAATTGAATGAAAAATCTGGCATTAAAAGTGTCATGATGACATCACATCCATTGTCAATTGTCAGAGGAAGCCATCCAGTGGATAAATGTCCTTTAGGGAATGAATTTGTCCTCCTTACCTGGTCGGGGCCTACATGTGACTTCAGACCCACAGCAATGTGGTTGACTCTGAACTGCCCTCTGGGAAATTGGGAATGAGCAATAATTGCTGACCTTGCCAGTGATGCCCTAATCCCATGAACGAATAAAATACATATGAGGCATTAATCCAAGAGGTCCTTTTTCCTTCGTGTGGATGTGTAAGATTTCTCAATCTTCTTCAGAGTTCTTCCTGGGCAACGCTTATCCTTTAAATGAACACCTTAAAAAAAACAATATTGTGATTATCCTAGTAGGATCTTGCCACATGTAATTACCATAATGAGTACTTCAGAAAAGCACCCCATTACCTGCAAATTACAGTGGGATATCTTGACGTAAGAGTTGTAAGTGCAGGGTTTTTTTTTTAATTGCTGTAGTGAAGTGTAATTCACTGTCAGTCAATGACTGGAATACAAGCCACAGCACTGCTCAGGTAAACAGCATCATGGCATGGATTATGTTTAAAGGTGCAGCTTCAAGGTCCTCCAATGGTCTGGTAGCGAATACTTGCAGAGCCCCAGGATGGATCCACTTTTTCTGTTGAGTTCACCGATCTCCTCCAAAGGTGTTGTTGGGATGCCTGGCCAATAAATGTGCAACCCTGTCGTCAGTCCCAAGTTTGTTTTCCATCCATTGCCTCTCGCTGATTCGTGGCTGATGAATTAATATAGGATTGGTCTTTACTGGGGTGCTTTCTACCAAAGCAAAAGCAATTTACATTTATCTTGCGCCTTTCAAGTGGAGAAGTATCCCAGAGCATCATCAGGTAAAATTTGGCACAAGTGCCCAGTATACGTGTCAAGGTTTAAAGAGAGCTGAAAAGATCAGGGGAATGTACTGGGGTCATGGCAGCTACAGGCACATCTAACAGCGAAGAAAGATCGGGGGGATACACAAAAGATGAGACTGAAAGAGAGCAGAGTTCTCTGGATTGTCGGGCTGAAGAACACATTGGAGGGATGAGATTGTGGAGGTGTATGATTTAAATAGCTAGTCAATACTAGCTGTACATTTACCCTCAAAGAATAGACTCTTCGTAAGGGAACAGAGTAGGATGCGAGTAGAAGTCCATTTCAACATTTTTGAAAGAAGACAGAAACAAAACTTCAGGAAAAATTGTGACAAAGAAGCATAATGAGATTAAACATGAGTAACAAACCTGCTGCTATCCACTTGCTGTTTGTTAATTATCCTGCCACTGTCATGTCAATATTCAGGGATGTATTTTAGCTCACCCATTTAAAGATTTCCAGTGTTTGCAATGCACAGCACTAACACAGCTGTATTGGACATTGCCTAAGTGAGCTTGTGCAATTCGTCAAAAACTGAAAGAATCCTGGATACTGTTTTGAGGAAGCGTCACCAGACCCAAAATATTAACTCCGATTTCTCTCCACAGATGCTGCCTTCTGAGCTTTTCCAGCAATTTCTGCTTCTGTGCAATCTGTTACTCAGCTGAGCTTTTCAAAGTGCTCGTCTCTTCTATTCCACATTTAAAACCCTTAAAAGCAATGGCCTTGGCATTGAGATTTGGGAGTTCCTTCTCTAAGCTCACAAGGAAGGCTGTCAAAGACATTTCTTAAGCTGCCCTTATCCCTTTTGCTGCTAAGTTGCCCAGAATGTTCTTTGAGGTGACAGCTATGAATTTCAAAATCTAATTCTATGGAGTGAACCTGATTTAAATATGGTAATAATGTTCCTACTTTCAAAACTTAAATACAGCCAGCAAAGCAACTTGCTGCCATAAAAATAGTTGGAGGAGAATGTTGTCGGTTGGGTAAACTGAGGTTTTGTTTTTAAGACTCTTTCCTATCTGTCATTGGAGTTAAATGCCTTCTTTCTTTTTTCTCTATTTCTGTCTTTGTCTGTCTGCATGTGTCTCTTTCTTTCTCCCGCTTCCTCCCTCTCTCTCTCCCCCTCCCTTTTGCCAACCCCCTGTTGTCTCAGCACTTCAGTTCTAAATATACTTCCCATTTCTGTTGTAGGCTTTGTGCTCTGGATTCTGTTCTGGACAAAGTGACAGGACTTGTCGTGGTCTACAGCAATGTGTGAGCACCTCGTGTGTTCCCGTAGAGGGTGATCTCATGGTACATTCTGCTTTTGCAGGTCAACGGGAAGGATCTCTCAAAAGCCACACATGAGGAGGCAGTGGAAGCTTTCCGAAATGCCAAGGACCCAATTGTCGTGCAAGTTCTGCGGAGGGCCCCCCTTGCAAAGAATCATGGCAGTTCTCAGGAAGTCCCACTCGTGGATACTGGCACACAGACAGAAATTACTTTTGAGCACATCATGGCCCTCTCCAAGTTGAGGTCGTCTTCGCCTCCAGTACCTGATATCTGCCCGTATTTGTTATCAGACAGGTAAAACACAGCCTGTATCTCTTTCTCTCTCAGTTATTGCAATCACTATATTTGTTCTGCAAACAGTAAAGTACTTCAACTAATGTTTCAGGGTGGAAGTTCTGTTTGGTCTTGTGTGGTCTGACAATTACATCATTGAAGGTGACCATTCATCCATTGCCAATTCTGGACCTCCTACTGGAGTTGCCCACTCCAATTCCATTTACTTGTCCTTCCCACTGTTCTGACATATTTTTTCCCTTTCACACAGGTTTCCAGACCGGTTAGTCTGTCAGATCTGTTAAACTGTTACTCTGTGCTCCAATGACCTCTTCCACCTCGAAGGACAGTATAACGTGGGAACACCACCACCTGCAAGTTCCCCTCTAAGCCACTCACCATCCTGACTTGGAAATATATCACTGTTCCTTCACTGTTGCTGGGTCAAAATCCTGGAATTCCCTCCCTAATGGCATTGTGGGTCAACCCACAGCAGGAGGACTGCAGCGGTTCAAGAAGACAGCTCATCACCACCTTCTCAAGGGTGACTAGGGATGGGCAAGAAATGCTGGCCAGCCAGCGATACCCATATCCCACAAATGAATTTTTTTTTTTAAAAATAACCCCTGTCGTAAAGCAATCCATGCTCATTAGCATGAAAGCCTTCACTTTCAAGTTCCCCATATATCGTCTGATAATTCTCAATCTATCTGACTTTTAGTGACTCATCAGCAGTGATGAATCTTTCTGTATTTCCCTGACACGATCCTTCAGAATTTCGCAAGCTCGATTGGATTCACTTTAACCCTGTCTATTGCAACGGATCTATTTGTCACCCATTTCTTCATAGCTCCGATCTCTAATTCTTAGTCACCGTCGCCAATTCAGTTTTTCATTGGCTCCTCTTTAACAGAGTGCCCAAACATATATCTGACACTGAGCCAAGCTAATTCAGATACAAATGTAATTTCATTTCTTCGTTTTTAATCCACTTGTCCCAAAGACGCAATTCCGGTTGCCTTTCCATGGCCCTATAATCTATTTAAATATTGTCTGCAACTCAGGTTTCTGATTTCAGTCAGCTTGGTGCTTGTAATTTCAAGGAATACTTATACTGTTTGTAGTGTTCTCCCCCTCAGCCTTCACCACCAACCCTCCTGCCCCCTGCCATGTACATTTCTTTTTCTTCGAGCACTGGATGCATTCATTGCTCTTATGTGACCACTCCCACTCTTTACTTGTCCGTCTCTTCTTGCAATCTCTGCCACTCTTCCTCTCAGTCATTCCTGGCCCCTAATTTGATGCCATTAGAAAATGTCAATCTTGTACATAGCTATCCGTTCCATATCCTCGATTGTAAAAATAGAAAGCCAAGGATGCCCTAGTATGGAATAAAAACCGAAAGAACTGCGGTTACTGTAAATCAGGAACAAAAACAGAAGTTGCTGGAAAAGCTCAGCAGGTCTGGCAGCATCTGTGAAGAAAAAATCAGGGTTGACGTTTCGGGTCCGGTGTTCTGAGGAAGGGTCACCGGACCCGAAACGTTAACTGATTTTTTTCTTCACAGATGCTGCCAGACCCGCTGAGCTTTTCCAGCAACTTCTGTTTTTGGCCCTAATATGGATCTGTGGACAGTGTCACCACTCAGTTTGCACTGATGTGAAGAGCACCTGTTTACTCTCACTGTTTGTTTTCTGTCCCCTGGTCATTTCTGAAAATTCCCATTAATATTACGTGCCTTCATTTTCATCCCTATTTGTTGCACTGTATCAAATACGTTCACAAATTTGTGTCAGTGCGTATATTTACCTTTTTGAACCGTGTCTCACAAGGGCTGTTGTGGCACGGTGGTAAAGTGCCTCCCTCTGAGCCAGGAGACTTGTGTTCAAGTCCCATCTGCTCCAAAGATGTGTCCTAACATCTCTGAGCAAGTTGATTAAAGATGTCTATAATTTGTTCCCAATGTACTGAATTTGTAACTGTATCTGAATGATATTCAACAGATGCTATTTTAGCACCACCATCTAGAAAGCAACTTGTTTCTTTTGCGTGTTATACTGTCACAGAAAGAGACTTTTATTGGGGCTTTTCATCTTATACTGATCAGGACAATTCGCAAGAACGCCAATGAGAAAACAACATGAACATTGTACGAGAGGAGAGTGCTGATTAGACTGTAGCTGAGGCATTGCCACAGAGAATGCTCTGTGTTAGGTTCTGACAGAAACTGAACTGACAATCTTCATTTAACCGTTTTGGTTTAAAATTTAACTCTAGTCAAGGCACTGGCCTGAGAAATGAACCAGAGATAGCTATCACCTGTTTTCTGCAGTTGAACCAGATGGAGTGTGTGCACATGGTCTTTCTGCCTGCACAGAACAGGACCCTGTGGATTAATCGATGTAGGCACAAGTACGTGCAAGTGTGTCATGCTGGAAATGTGTCAGGCCCATAGTGGAACCTAAATATATTAATACACAGGGTCTTAATCTTTGCAGTAAGAAACCATTTTACAAATACTGTCCCTGTTCAACTCAACAAAATAAGTGACAGCCAATCTGTGGGTCATTTCTCAGTGCAGTGCCTTGATCAACCACCTTGTGTAAACAATAAGCAAAGAACGGCAGTTAATGATCAGTTATCATCTAACTGGTGCATTCTGTGTTGGAACCCCCTGAGCAATCAGCACACTCCGCTCACACGGTTTAAATGTTGTTTTCCCTTTACATTAGTTGCAAATTGTCTCGATGAGCGTAAGTGAAAAATATTCCACGATGTCTTTCTCCTTTCACCAAGTCTGAACTTCTGTACTCCAAAATGACCATGATCATGCCTTTAAGCAGAAAGATCACTGAATCTTCCTTTTCTCTTTGCCTATCTCTCTCACGTTTCAGCTCCTATTTTAGCCCACTGGAGCTAAAATTCCTTTAAATACCACAGTGTTTTATCCCTTCATTCCAGTTAGTGTGTGTCCTGCTACCATCTTTAAACCGTACCCAAACATGGTCCTCAGACTGTTTAGCCCTAAGCTAAGTAGTTTCTCAGGAGAGTTTTCAAAGGTTACATTTCTTGTTTATTGGTTCTACCTGAAACAGGGTTCGAGATACACATTTTCCCTGTTGAGAGTCACCCTTGAACTGCTCTTCCCCTACCCAGTGGAGGCAACTCTCAATAGGGCCACTAAAAGTTGTTTTGTCTATTTGTGCTCTCCTGGCCTTGCAAACATCCAATGATCAGCCCCAGAATGAGCTGCGCCTACTTGCAGCAGTTTCCCTCCCATCCAACTGATAGGTGTTTCTCCATGGCTTTATCCTCGTCCCAGTGTCTCCCCTACATCCTCTTGGCTGATCAAGTCACCCAACAGAGCTTGATGAGCTGCTCACCCCCTTAATGTAACTGAGGCCAGAGCTGGGAAATAACTTAGTTAACAAAAACAGAAGTTGCTGGAAAAGCTCAGCAGATGTGGCAGCCATCTGTGAAGAAAAAAGTCAGAGTTAACGCTTCGGATCCGGTGACCCTTCCTCAGAACCAGACCCAAAACGTTAACTCTGATTTCTTTTCTTCACAGATGCTGCCAGACCTGCTGAGCTTTTCCAGCAACTTCGGTCCTTGTTCCTGATTTACAGCATTCGCAGTTCTTTCGGTTTTTATCTGGGAAATAATTTGCCTATCACGCTAACGGAATTAGGCAGGTCCTGTCTTCCCCACCACTGCCCAAATACAGTGGAAGTCTGTGCTCTGCCTCGCTATATCCTTCCCTTAGTTCAAGAGTAGGGACAATTGTTCTGTGGCATCTCTGAAGTGCTGGCACCGCTTTGTGGCTCACTGCCATATAGCTACTGCAGAAAGACATTCCTGAGAGATCAAGCTAACACTGCAGCAGTAAGTCCCCATGGGTTGATAACGAGCTCTCCTTTCTCCCCATCTTTTTGGCTCGGGTTGATCTGCAAGCTAAAGCCTGGCACCACAAGAAGAGGTAGGTTTTTTTCTGAAGAAGGGTCTAGGCCCAAAAAGTTAGCCTTCCTGCTCCTCTGATGCTGCTTGGCCTGCTGTGTTCATCCAGCTCTACGCCTTGTTATCTCAGGTTGGAAACCTCAACAGCAGGACATGGGACTGTCATTATCGAACGGTCTGACATAGACCAGCAGGCACAAAGCGAAGGGAGGAGTTGGGAATGGCAAATCAAAAAGAATGAGTTTCCATTTCCCTTTTCTACAGGTTTCCCAACTGATGTGGACAGGGAAGCAGTGGGAACTCACAAGGGAGGAAGGGTCTAGTGGTGGGAAAGGGCACTGAAGACTTTGGGGAGAACGGCAGCCCATGGACTGCTTTTCTAACCATCTTCTTACCTGCCTGGTTTCTGTGTCGCTCAAAACCGAACCAGCATGAGTTACAAATAAAAGCTCCATAAAAGTGAAAGGCCAGCCTCTCTTAAAGACTTCTGATGACTGGCAAGTGTCCTGTGAGCTGGTTGAATGCCCGTTGTCCTTGCCACCTTAACCTCTGTCCATATGCATTGGTAGAGGATCTGGGGCATTTTTGACTCGCCCGTCCCAAATAGACCCCATTTTCAGGGGTTTGGTATTGCCCCAAATTGAACTCTGCTTATCTTTTACACAGATGCTGTGTCTGACCTGCTGAGTGTTTCTTGTCATTCATGGTTCATGTGTGATTTCTAGCAACTGTGGTATTTTGTTTCTGTCTATGTCCATCAGAAGCCAAAAAGGATACAATGGGGAGGGAGGATAAAATCCAGATAGCATGACAAGCCCTCTCACCAACCTACCAGAAAATGTAATCCTGTCATGGAATCACAGTCTTTGCTCTAGCTAGGTGAATGCAGTCTATTGGTTTATGAGACTGACGCTCGGTAATGGAGAGATTTTGCAATCAAACTGGGGAAAGGTGCAGGAAAAATGGTGCTGTGAGAGAGGAGGACTTGAACCAGCGCCCAGTCCCTGAGATGGAGATTATTGGGACTGTTTTGTATGTAGCAGTGTATTTTTTTTTCGTTGTCCATTTCTTTCTTCCCCTTTTCCACGTCAGTGGATTCGTAATGAATGAACTGGAGGCACGATTGACAGCTAAGCTGTAAACGCAGGTGGGTCAGCCATCCATGCACTTCAAACTATTTCAGAAGGTGCTGTTGTTGATTTAAATTGTTCCAATATGTTTGAGTGGAAATAATCCTGTACATATTTCAAAATGTAAGCTGTTCATTTAAATGCAAAGCATTTGCAATCTTACGTTTGCAAGTGGATTTTGTACATAGATTCAAATTCTCAGCATTAACAGTGATGAATGGTTTTGTGAAAACCAATGTGCTTACATTTGCTGTACTGGAATGATCATAGATCTAGCTGATTTGATCTGTTCCTTCTCTGCCCACGTTTCCAAGCTTGGGATAAAAGTTGGTCCACCTGTGTCCTGTCACTTCGTGAAGATGGCACTTTTTCTGGTATCCCAGCAAATAGCACTTTTCACCCCTTGAGTCAGAAAGTCAAGGTTTCAAGCTCTGTTTTGAATGCATAATCGAGAGTGGTGTTTGAGTTCAGTCCTGAAGGAGTGCTGACCTATGAGCTATTTCTTGATGAGACTTGGAGACAAGGACCTGTCAGATGGATGCAAAAGCTCTCGTGGTACTGTTCAAAAAGAAATTCTCGCGGCATCCTCATCAAAATTTAGTTGTCCAGTGAAATCGTCAAAAAAAAAGATGATTTGGTCACTTGTTTGATTTTTGTTTGTGGGGTCTTGCTGTGCACAAATGGCCAGCGCTGTTTCCCTGTACCGCAGAAGCGACTTCTCTTCAGAAGTACTCAATGGGCTGCAAAGCACTTTAGGGATAACACAACAGCAAATCCTTTATTCTTGGAAACAGGCATGTGAGGATGCAATTGGAATTATTTTGGCACACCACACTCCAGTGCCACGAGTGTGATGTTTGCCGAGGTTTATTCTGATGACTGCAGTTTAGTATCTATCTTTAAATATACCATTTGTGGAGAAGAATTTTTCGCAAGAGCACAAAGTAAAAATTGGGAGAGTGGGACTGTTTTTGAAAACCCAGGTACAATGGCTGAATGGCTGTCTTTGGTGCTCCATGATTGCTTCAATGTACGTTTCACACTGTCTCTCAGACGTAACATGAGCTTAGGAAGAAGGTGATTTTAGCACCTCCACGTCCACTTGACACTCTCATTCTAGTTTTTACATCTTCCCTTGCAGCTGTCACTCTCTCCATCCCATGGCCCACGACTACTACGAAGCCAGCGATTACCTTCCCAACCTGGCACACGACGGGGATCGAGCTGACGAGCTGGAGTACGAGGTAATGCAGTAATCCGTTTGGAGAGGGAAGAACAAACTGACAAGGTTGTTGGCTCCATCTCCAAGTACTTTTTAAGTACCTTCAATGAGGCTCAGGCAGTGTTTTCGACAGCTTTCTGCAGTCTCGCTCTCTGAGCCAAATGGGTTGTACTTTAACAGAGAATGTAAATCCTGGCAAAATGAGCCAAATTCTGTAAGGCGTTTGTGATTATTTGGACCACGTCCATTCAATCGACAGTACGCGCTGAAAAGATATCACAAGCAAACACCAACTTGCTGTGCAAAACCCACCAGTTTTAATTCTTCCAGTTGTAATGCTAGTCTCTGAGAATAGCAGGGTAGAATTTGACAAGCTTTCGTGCCACCTGTGTTTGCTAGGGTATATTTTTAATGCAAGCTGTCAGAAATTTTGAAATCTGAAACAAATTATCAGATCGTACATTAAAGTAGACTTTTCCAAGACAAGCCAGTCATCTTATTAGTTCCTAATAATAAAAAGCCTGGCTATTAAAGGAGAACTGAATGTCGCTCAGACTTCTATTCAATACCTTGTAATCTCCACTAATCACACCATCACAGTCATTAATTTAATATCGGCTGTGATTTTGCAGCCCGAGGCAAAACCTCCTGACTAGAATAAAGAGTGTATGACACAAGACTTAAATAGAAAAGTGTCCTTTTTCAGACAGTAGCTGCTTCAAATAACGGAATAAAACATTATGTGATAGTTCATCGCACAACAAAAGCGGCCTTAAACCGACGGAAAAGGGAAATTATCGTGTTCTCGCAACATATTACCAGAGAGTAGATTTATCGTTGTCCTTTTGCAACGTGACAACTTGGAAATTGTATTTTTTTGTAAATAAAGAAAGACGTATCTCCAGTTCATTTACGGAGGCTCAACTTTTCCTAATGTCGGTCATCTTTCATTCAGCAATACACAGGGGAGAAAATACTGCATCGATATTATTTCTGGGGCATTCATATAATGAATGATTGTCAGTAAGCAAATTTCGTTTGCCAGAAACACTTGCCAAACAGGGTGCATTCCGTTGCCAACTGTTAATTCATCTGCTCGTCTTCTGCCCTCAATCTCAAAGATGTTGAGCGTGCAGAAAGGCAATATTCCCAACAGGCAGAAAGGTGAGCAAGATGGATAGCTGTGCAGTTTTGGAAGATGGAAAAGCCTACCATGGCACTTCAACATGTTTTGTGAGAGTGCAGTCGCACATGACTGCTCAAGAAATGTAATATCTGCATTGAACATTTTGCAGGAACGATGACAGGGTGCAGTGTGATAAATTGTAAAGAGCAGTTTTTCTTTGCGTGACTCACTTGGGTAGATATATATTTCAAAGAAGTGACTGATTAGTGTTCCAACTAAAAAGGCTCATAAACCCTGAATGTTTTGGCACCTGTCTTAAATTTGCAGTAAACCGAAGGGAGGTGAGGGGTGGTGTCATGCAACCTGTTTTGAAGTCTGCCTGATGGCAGCCGAGGTGGTTTCATTGTTAGAAATCAAACAAAGACCCATTGTTTTACTGGGAAGAAGGTACTGTACAAAGTATTTACACTCAGGGACAATAGCAGCAGCCTGTGCTTTAATAGGGGAGCGTGGGAGCTTTGTAGAAAAATACTGAGAATGCTTTGAACTGTTCCTTTCGTTCCAAGAGGAAACAGAGTTAGGCTCTCCAGAATATTTAATTTGCATTTCTACCTAGAAACAAGGTCTATATGATTAAACTTGCTGTAGTGAAGCAGACGAAGCCATTGTAAAGATCTGCTCTGAATATAGCAGACAGTGTTTTTGTACATCTATTAGAGGCCAAAAGGAGTGTGGGTGGAAGCTCTCAGTTGAGGGGAGTTACAAAGAAACTGGCAGAATCTCCAAATGGGGTTAAAGGGAGAGGCTGTCATTCCATCTCCCCGTCAAAGACCGCTCTTAGGTTGCTAGTCTCCAGGCTGCATAAAGAAAGGAAGAAATCCTCAGGAGTGTTATACATCAAGTCATTGACAACATTGAGCTGTTCAGCTCCTCAAATGAAACTTTGCTTGATGGATTATCCATTTAATGTTTGCACTGAGTCACTATGCCGTTTAGTCACTGACCAAATATGTACAGTGCTGCACATGTTCTTTATTTCCTATTCATTTGTGGGATGTGGGCGTTGCTGGCTGGGCCAGCATTTATTACCCGTTCCTAGTTGCCCTCGAGAAGGTGGTGGTGAGCTGTCTTCTTGAATCGCTGCAGTCCTCCTGCTGTACGTTGACCCAAAATGCCATTAGGGAGGGAATTCCAGGATTTTGACCCAGCGACGCTGAAGGAACGGCGGTATATTTCCAAGTCAGGATGGTGAGTGGCTTGGAGGGGAACTTGGAGGTGGTGGTGTTCCCATATGTCTGATGCCATTGTCCTTCTAGATGGAAGTAGTCGTGGGTTTGGAAGGTGCTGTCTGAGGATCTTTGGTGAATTTCTGCAGTGCATCTTGTAGATAGTACACACTGCTGCTACTGATTGTTGGTGGTGGAGGGAGTGGATGCAATCAAGCGGGCTCCTTTGTCCTGGATGGTGTCAAGCTTCTTGAGTGTTGTTGGAGCTGCACTCATCCAGGCAAGTGGGGAGTATTCCATCACACTCCTGACTTGTGCCTTGTAGATGGTGGACAGGCTTTGAGGAGTCAGGAGGTGAGTTACTCGCCACAGTATTCCTAGCTTCTGGCCTGTTCTTGTATCCACTGTGTTTATGTGGTGAGTCCAGTTGAGTTTCCAGTCAATGATAACCCCCTGGATGTTGACAGTGGGGGATTCAGTGATGGTCACACCATTGAATGTCAAGGGACGGTGGTTTGATTGTCTCTTATTGGTGATGGTCAGAGCCTGGCATTTGTGCGGCACAAATGTCACTTGCCACTTGTCAGCCCAAGCCTGGATATTGTCCAAATCGTGTTGCATTTGAACATGGACTGCTTCACTATCTGAGGATGCTGAGCATTGTGCAATCATCGGCGAACATCCCCAGTTCTGACCTTATGATGGAGGGAAGGTCATTGATGAAGCAATTGAAGATGGTTGGACCTAGGACATTACAATGAGGGGCTCCTGCAGAGATGTCCTGAAGCTGAGATGACTGACCTCCAACAACCATGACCATCTTCCTATGTGTCAGGTATGACTCCAATTCCAGCAGAGTGTTTGCCCCCTGATACCTATTGATTCCAGTTTTGCTCGGGCTCCTTGATGCCACACTCGGTCGAATGCAGCCTTGATATCAAGGGCTGTCACTCTCACCTCTCCTCTGGAATTCAGCTGTTTTGTCCATGTTTGAACCAAGGTTGTAATGAGGTCAGGAGCTGAGTGGCCCTGGCAGAACCCAAACTGGGCATCACTGAGCAGGTTATTGCTGAGCAGGTGCTGCTTGATAGCATTGTTGATGACATTATCTATCACTTTACTGATGGTGGAGAGTGGACTCATGGGGTAGTAATTGGCCGGGTTGGATTTGTCCTGCTTCTTGTGTCCAGGACGTACCTGGGCAATTTTCCACATTGTCGGGTAGATGCCAGTGTTGTAACTGGACTGGAACAGCTTGGCTAGGGGAGCAGCGCATTCTGGAGCACAAGTCTTCAGTACTATTGCCGGAATGTTGTCAGGGCCCATAGCCTTTGCAGTATCCAGTGTCTCCAACCATTTCTTGATGTCAAGTGGAGTGAATCGAATTGGCTGAAGATTGGTATCTCTAATGCTGGGGACCACTGGAGGAGGCCGAGCTTCACCAGGTTGATACCTCATCTTCAGGCATGCCTGGTGCTGCCCCTGGCATGACCTCCTGCACTCTCCATTGAACCAGGGTTGATCCCCTGGCTTGATGGTAATGATTGAGTGGGGGATATGCCGGGCCGTAAGGTTACAGATTGTGCTGGAGTACAATTCTGCTGCTGTCGATGGCCCACAGCGCCTCATGGTTGCCCAGTCTTGAGTTGCTCGATCTATGCAAAGTCTGTCCCATTTCGCACAGTGATAGTGCCACACAACACGATGGAAGCTATTCTTAATGTGAAGGCGGGACTTCGTCTCCACAAGAACAATGCGATGGTTACTCTTACCGATACTGTCATGGACAGATGTAACTGTATCTGGCAGATTACTAAGGATGAGCTTGAGTATGTTTTTCCCTCATGTTGGTTCCCTCACCACCTGCCGCAGACCCAGTCTAGCAGCTATGTCCATCAGGACCCGACCAGCTCGATCAGTAGTACTGCTGCCCAGCCACTCTTGGTAGTGGAAACCAATAGAAATTTATTTCAAAGATAGATGTATGTATGACAGTTCAGAAAAGTTGTAACCTAAACAGCAAAACTCAGTTTCAACCTGTTTCCCTGCAATATCCCTTAGAGATATTCAATTCCAACCAAATATCACTCCTATCTGACCTCTGTAACTTCTTAGTGAACTGTTCGCAGTTCTGCTCCTGAGATCGTTGAGAGATTTTATGACTCATTTCTAAGTCTGCTGTCATAGACCTTTTTTGTCAATTTTAATGGTGTAAATCTATTCAGTTCCGATGACCCTTGAAAATTCCTATACAACATCTAACAGCTTCAAGACTTCACAAACTAATACTCTTCTAAAAGGCAATAGTGTTTGTCTAAACCAAGAACTTGATTCTTCTGCCTTGAAACAAAACTAGTGACCTCTGATTGGTTTCGCTGTGCAATATGCTGAGCAGTATAAGCATTTCATTCACTAAACCCTCAGATGTCCTGCTAGGCACAAAACTGGGACCTCGTGCCTTCTTGGAATTTGTCTTTAGTTTCAGTATTCCTCATGACCTTCTGATCACCTCAAAAAACTTACTTTCACAGAACTGAAACCACTTGTCTGCCTCTCAAATTCTAGATTCTTTATTGGTACTAACACACTATATACGTTTTATCACAGGAGCTAAGAATTACTTTGAATTTGTTCCAGGAAAGTATAATGCCTACCAATGAGATAGTGCCC